ATTTTTATGCTTTTGTGTCACAATTGACCATCTGAAGCGTTTTCAGAAAAGTTCGAGCTTGTCGCTGAATATATCGTTGAATAATTCGCAAACTTTGCGGATATAACTGAAGTCCAATTTCTCTAGGACTTCCTTGATGAGAGGATTATTTACCGAAAGCGCTTCAACAAAAATAATACATATCGCATGTGAAAAATGCCACAGACCCAAGCTGGGGCCAAAGCAAGCCATTTAAGGTGGCACAAAGCCAAGGCCGAATCCGAAACAAGCCGTTGAAAATGCATCGAAGTTGGAACTGAACCCGGCATCGTCCCTTTGTCTGGCGAGCCGGCCGCGTACATTGCAGGGGAAGGTTGAAGGTCCCACCTCCAGCTTAATAAGATGCTTTGTCCCTATTTGAACCTTGTACAACTCTCCTTGCGTCACTCACCTGTCAGGAGAATAGCTACACAAAATAATTTGGAGGGGTGAGTACGAAAAAACGACCAAACCTACCCCAAAAACGCGACAATGATAGGTTTCTCCACAGATTTAGCTTTGTGTTTATATCTAGGCTGTTTTCTAAGCCCTTCTCCCCATGGGAACTGCACCCTACACCAGTTCTTTTTCAGGGGTGCGGCCAAAGGAGGGATGGGGGCCAGGTCACTCCGTTAGTCCAGGGCTTTTTCGTTTCTTTACCAGGGATGAAACTTTACGTTTTTTGGTGGGAGGCCGAACTCATGAGCACTACCTATCATAGTTCCCAGACGCAGTATTCAGATTTCGCCTGGTTAACTCTTGTAAAAATTGGGCCCTGATGTAAGCAAGAAAGGTCCTAAGCTCCTGTTTTTTTATAAATATTCTGAGCTTAGAGCTCCTATGATCAGCTAACAACATTCAGTATGCTGGAGGTACTACTTTTATGAACCTCTAGTGCTAAAAAGATTATATTGATTGAACTCAATATTTTCAGATGAGCGTTCAGTATCTTGGTCACGTTTCATAGACGTGCCATAGGCTCCGAAAATGGGACTGATTGATTATTCGTCTTGGTTTCGTTTAAAGACGGCTTACATGCCGGATAAAAATGACTCTATTTGACCACAGTACTTCCCTGTCTCAGTGAACACCACACGCGCCATGAATCGTGCCATTTCGAAGCCGCTCCAAAGAGCTGCCCGAAGGCAGCGCTTTTGAAAAGGAAAGTTTGGCTCCTTTCGGAACCACCAGACGCTGGGGCTAACACGCGCCCAGGTGGCCCGCCAGATTTGCTTCGCTCGGATGGGGAACAATTGCCCCCCCCCCCTGAGATCTCAGACACTACGAGGGCTAAAAATACTAAATTCACAAGGTGTGTTGGCCTGTACGTACACTCACGTGTGTCAACATTTGGTGTCCCTAGGTCATGGCCTTCAGCTCAAATGAAGTCAAACAGGGCCAAATTCCAGATTGCTGTCCAAAGTGCCCCAGAACCTAAATACTTGTTCTAAGCAAAATATGTTTAGTGTGATGGAGCTCCCCAGGACTGTTCATATTTGATTGTTTCATTCTTCTGCTTGCAATGGGACAATACTGTGCGGACGGGTGTGGAACTAAAAGGGGAGGCATGGGGCCATGCCATCCCCCGTGGGCCACTCATGAAGCTCTGGGACCCCTTCGTGACACTAAAATGTCATGGTGAAGGGGTACCAAAGGCCTTCACTTCGAAACCACATTTTGGGTAGCCAAACCCTTACTTTCAAAAGCCATCCGATTCCAGAGGGCACCACACAGGGTTCCGAATCTGCATTCTCAAGAGGCACAAAATTCTAAAGGCAAAACAATGCTATAGCTCCCACCCTGGACGGAATCCTGAATCGGTTCCCCGGCGAACCAAAACCTTCATTGCGGTCAACTATGGGCTTTTTCCAAGAGAACTCCCTGTGGCTTTCACCCTGATGTAATTCCTGATCGGTTCGGTCTTTGCCGGTCAGCCAAGTAGCACCAAAGACTTTCTCTTCGGGAGTCATAACCTTTAAGTTTCAACGTTACCTAATGCAAAGTAGTACCAAAAAGGATCCTAATTCTTTTCAGCAGACATTAAATTCCAGGTGAAATTGCAATGTCTTTGCCGCTCCGTTGACGAAACCCTGGATCGGCCCACTCGGAGAAGAGAAGGACTTCCATTATGGGCACAATGGTCTGTATTTTCAAGTCACCTAATTTTAGGGAGACACCACAAGAAGCTTCATGACCTTTTATTTCAAGTGATATCAAATTCCAGGGAACACAACAAACTGCCCCAACATATCTATGGCGTTACCACCATAGTCAGATGACCAACCTCAGGTCATTAGGTCCCAACGGTCACGGGGGGGGGGGGGCGATCTAAGGTCCGATCGGAGGGTCCGAAGGGCCCGTTTCCCAAGAAAGGCAGGGCCGGGCCCTGGACGTGTTAATCAGAAAGTTCTTGCATTGGTCGGGCCCCTAAAACAGTGAAGGGCCCTGGGCTGATCATGGGATCACAATGCCTAACAGGGGATCTTGTGTCGGCAATGAACCCCAAGTCGGGCAGGGGCACATTTGCTTCACAGAGACAGTCGTAGGACCCCCGAATGTCAAAAGGCCTCTTGCGTCGGCCACGGCCCTTTTAGCAATGAAAGAAGATGTGGTGGATGACGATGCAATGGTTCGCACTTACAATGAGACTGTACCTGTCAGATGTCCCAGCACCGAACGAGGGCCCTCCGCACCGTTTCAGTTAGAGGCCAATAAACCGCATTGGTGTCTCGGTGCCAACTGTTGGGCTCCCTGCGCTAGTTGAGGATCTTTTTGCGTCAGCGACGACCCCTGCGTCGATCCTGCGCCAGATGCCCACACCAGAAGGTCTGCCGCATTTGGAATAGGACCGACTTATGATGCATCTCTCTGTAGGTCACCACATCGCCATAATACCAGCTGCTGGGCACGCCAGGCTGCAACGAAAGGGCCCTTCAGCTCCTGACCATGATTTCTCACCTGTGCGATTTCGAGGCTGGTTTTCTGAACGAAATTGTTAATTGCAATAACACGAGCAATCGAGATTACGCCATGGCCTTATGAGTCTGTGGTGCTGTGCGACCTAATCTTTTCCGAAATCAATTTGGCAATAGAACAGGTGAAATCTAACTTCCGGAAGCATTCTGCCCGCATACGAATTCATTTCAAAGGGCGTTCATGGGTACCATTTCCCGACACGCAGTCGCTCTCGCCTGCCCGTTGGCCCCAAATGTTAGCTACTGGGCCGACGTCGCGAGACCCACGGAGACTGCAACACCGAGGTGCAGGTTTCTTTCTCCTGGTCCTGCTTTAACCGCACAAGCTCAAAATAAATGTTAGTTGGTCACAGCCTGTTTAATTTACTTTTTAAGATGCGCTAAACATTGTGCATGATTAATGCGTCCTCACCATAACAAACCTGCACATGTCTCTTGGCATATGTGCTTGGATACTGACGTAACCAAACAAATGCAGATGCAGTCTCAGATACACGAGATGACGATTTATTGTTTTCGGGGACGGGATGACCGAGTGGATAGCGCCTTCGGCTCCCACAGGAGGGAACAGTGATCGAACCCCGGTCACTCTATAATCCCTGAGCGTTTATATGTTTGTTTTGGCATTGCTGGTGCCCCATTAAAGGGTGCGCGACGACGTGCGTCGCGTTTTTTCACTTTCACTGCATTTAACAGTAGCAACGTTTTTGATGAATTCTGAGGTTCAAATGCATGGTCACTGAAGCGCCGACTGCACTGTATACCTGAAAGTGATCGATTTTTTAATCTGCGGAGCTCATATTGCTTATGCTTTGCTCGAACCATATTCCTCAGCTAGAATTTTAGCAATTCTCGCACACCTTCAAGATACTCAAACCATGCAGCACAATATTTGATTATTTCCACGCAAACGGCACTAACATTTTGTACATTCCGTGGAGCTCGCCGTATATTTTACTGCAAGAAAATATATCACGGCAGGTTTGCGAGTTTCAAAGCTCCGCCTCTTTCTACTTCTACCGCCAAAATTTCAATATTCGCGTCATGACATGTCACTTGACAGGAATCTCGACTAAGATATCGCAAAAAATATTTTCCATTCACCGTGGGCTTCGGTTTCCCACTATGCCCCTCACCCACCTCTTTCTGCCCGGGTGCCAAGCAGGCGCCACCACGTAGTCTCAGTGGAATTGTAAAGCCCCAGTGACATACAACCGTTCACTGTGAGGTTAGCGACATAAACATACAACTTCTTGCTGTTTTTATTTTACTTCAGTTGAAATTATACGTAAGCTCATCAGTCTCTAGAAAAAGACGGACGTTCGCCACGAGCATAGGTATATGTGCGTCATGTACACCTACACATACCTGCCTATGTCTAACCCTCCACGATACGCAGAGGACGGCATAAAGCTTCCCAATAAAAAACAGGAAGTTGAAAATGGAGTAGAAGAAATCGGGGGAACTTTTCTGAAGGGGTGGGGATATTAGAACATTAGGAACTGAACAGTTAAATAATGAGATTGCCATGTGTTGAGGGCACATACAAATATAAACTTAAATTTTGAATATATTCCAATGTTCGGAAAGCATTTTTGGTGCAAAACTTAAGTTGTCTAGATTTCAAACATCCCACAAAGGTTTGGGACCAGGTGCAATATTGTCTATTTCCCAGTTCAATATTGCGGGAGCCCAGCTCATTATTGAGGGTGGGCCAGGGCCCGCTCAAAGAGACAAAATTCCACCCATGTTCTTTACTATAAACGACTCCTATCAAAAAGCTTAAAATCGGCGCGTTGCGTACCCATCGAATTCTGCCCCTCCCCCCCCCCCCTTACACAACTCACAAAATCCTGGCAACGTCCACGCGTTTTCCAACAATTTGAGACCTCCCGGAGCGTGGGGTTGGCAGGCTTTCAACGCTACAGTTGGTTGTGAAATTCTACAGCAACCGTAGACGGGGCCTCCTGACGTCAGCAGAATCAGCCAATCCCAGCTCTCCACATTGGCCTCGTCTGCATCTCGTGGCGAGGGGCTGAGGGGAGCATTCGGCGATCGGCTGAGGCAAGTGGATGTTCTCTCGTGTATTGTGGTTGAAATTTATATTTCAGTGGCTGCTTTGAAAGGCGATTTTTGTGCCGACAGTGATGTAGTCGGGTCCGAACGTTGCATAGTGGAGTGAAAACGTGCATCAAGTCTCTGAGACATACCTGGCGCACTTGCCGGATCACCGTTGTGGACTTTGCTGGAGTACCTACCTACTGGTATTTCAGGCGACTAGGGCCATCAGTACATAAGTATCAATTCATTGCATGTAGTCATTCATCGATGTGTGTCATGATAAGGTAGCAGGGTATATGTACATCATCCAAGTTATCGGCAGTTTTGATCGTAACATTTTTTTGAGACACATGGCCTGTGGGCCCCATCAAGCTTTCATATGACTTGTGGGGTGCTATAGGTGACTTGTGTATCTTTTTCGGATGGCCAGTCTTCATATTTGTGTTTTCTTTGTGATGTGAATATGAGACTGCTTAAATCATGCCTAAATATTAACAATGTATAATGTTCTTTAGCTGCTATAATTTTGTAAAGCTCTGGTTTGGTTTTGATAAAATGTAGCATATATATGTTAAGTGTTTAAATATTTTGCAACAGCTTGTAGCCCAGTGATCTGTTCAGGCAGTGTAATCCTTACACCAGTTGCTGGTGGTCACATTGCATGCATTCAATCCTAAATGCCATATAGGCATCAGCATCATTTGGTGCTGCTTTCAAAATTTTGTATTGTTAGTGGTTAAGATATGAATGAACTGTGATTTGGGAAAACTGGGTTTGCTGCTGATAAACACAATAGGTCTCACTTCCCTTGCCAAGCAAGTCAAAGGTTGTATACTCAGTTATAGCAAAGTGAGTTCTTTGTTTAATCTAATCACACAGTATATATACTTTGGTGATCAAGAGGCTGTTCATTTGGAAGCTCACTACAACTTCTATGAATTATTTGTTTGGCTGCTTACCACATGTTTGGCATATAACTACACTCACCAACCAGGAAGCAAGTATCCTTGCTATCCTGGTGCTTTGCACTGGTTGTCATTCTTCTCCCCCCATAAGCACAGCATAAATCTCCTGTCAGTTAAGGTCATGTAAAGTGAATGAAAAAAATCCAAGGATTAATATGTTAAATTAGCCACAATTGTACACTGCTGTACTGTTGCAGCTCTTTTAGTTATCTTTTAGTTATCTTAGTTATCTTCTAGAGACAGGTTATACAAACATAGACCATGTAATGGAGGATTTGTGGGAAATCAAGTTATGAGAAAGTCTTTGTTCATATTGGAGTTCCATGTGGATAAGAGGTATTTGTGTGTCACTGAGAGGGTGATTTGGCCATCTGACTACCTGTAAAAACTCGTCAGGGATACTGATTTATTTGTTTTGAAACAGCCCAGGTAGTACTTAACTTGCTTTTATGATATTTTATCAGGTTGGGTTTGTAAGCTTTTTATTTAATGAATGTCTAGCTGGACAAGTTAATGGATGAATTCTCAGCTGCTAGATTGGCTCTATCCTCCAAAGAGATCAGTCCTTTTCTCTTTATTCCAGCAGGAGTTGTGTATTAACATTTGGCTACCATCATCTTTTGGTCCAAATTTTTGACATTCATCTAGTACTGTGCTATTTTTGGTTTGGTAATGGTGTTAAGCCAGACACTTAATTGGATATTGGCAGTATTAGTTGTATTCTGCAGTTATTGCATAATGCATGCAAAGTGGTAGCTGATATGGTATCACAATGACCAGAGTTACCATCCTCTTGTGACGTCTGAGCCGAGCATAAGACGATTTGCTCCGCCAGCGACCTTGGGGTCCGCGCAAAATACGCTCGTGCGCAGCACTGCAAGGCGCTAAAGCGTGCTGTGAGTTGTTTGCGAAATGCCGCGGACACCGACTCGGCGCCGGGCATTTGATGTCCCTGCGCTATACTCCCAGTTTTAACCGCGGTGAAATCTGCGCATTTTGGTGCTGTAGCTCATCACTGACATTGACCATGTCTAATGTTGCTGATTGCTGCCATTGCTCTCGCGGGCGCGGGCTGTGGCAAGTTGATGACGCACTCCGTATGTGAATGGGAGTCTGCCACGATGGTGGTCTCTGCGGCATGCTCGGCTGTTGAGGTCACTAGGCCAAGTCTCGTCGGGTCGGCGCCTGTCCCACGGTGGCAGGCGCCATTCCCAGAACCACGTGCAGTCGGCGTCTGTGGGCTGGACGCTTATCGATTATCTTAAATGGTAGGTGCCTCGTGCGCCATGCGTGTTCGCCGGCTAATCCAACTTGGGTGGTTTCCTTATCGGGATGGAAATGTGATACGCACTGTGGGTGCAGATAGATCCATTATCCTGATTTGTTTTGCCCGTTGCCCCGTAATTGGAACCGATTGGTCCCATGGCCCCAGCAATGGCTTGGTCACTTCTCGTATTTTCATGCTGAGCTTGTGAGGGGGAGGGGTAGGGGAGAAGCCCCGTCAATTGAATACTTCTTCGCACTTTGACACCTGTGGAGCACAAGCTGATGCCACTTTTGCTTTCTCCCTCCAATTTCCGCACCTGTCCCGAGACGTGCGCAGAAAAGGCCGCGGGCCAAAACTAAGGAGTGGAAGGCATGCGACGCCGCTGAAGCTTTGGCGACCGAGGTTTGGCCGAGGCGCCGCCGCTGGCCGCCGCTCGGACGCCAGCTCGTCCGCTGGCCGCTGTCCGCTCACGACGCGCCGCCTCTGTCCTCTCCGACAGCGGGTGCCCGGCGGGTTGACTGAATCGTCGCGTGTGTGTGCGTGGGCGCGTGGCAACCGAGCGGGCCGGCGAGGCAGCCGCGGCCACCGACACCAGCCGCCATGGAGGACGGCCACACCAGGACCGTCCAGGAGGTGGAGCGTTTCTTCAACGTGGACGCCGAGCGCGGTCTGGGCGACGACCAGATCAAGCGCAACCAGGAGAAGTATGGACCGAACGGTACGTGCGCCTAGCGGCGGGCCGGAGGGAGCGCGCGCCGGCCATGCTGACGCCTGCGCCGTGAGTCTAGTGGGTTAGGCGCGTCATGCGTAAGCTACGATGGTAGCTTGTGAGCTATTAGCTGATAGGAATGCTGTTTGTAGGTGATTTTGACAGTGTCGTTTTTATTGAAATATGAATGTGGACCGCAGTCAACTTGTGTCGCTTACGTGCCTTTAGTACATAACGAACTTCAAGAATCTTGGCTGTTGAGGGGGTTTAAATTATGGGCTGGTCGTGTTGTGCCCTTCCATTTGCTTCAAGTTACCATGGAACTGGATTATTTTACATGTATTTGCTGTATCGCATCAGTCCGATTGAGCAATACTAACAAGTTGATCGTTTTCTTTTTGCAGAGCTACCGGCGGAAGAAGGTTAGTACACTTTTAATCTAATCGTTCGCTTCTTTCCGGGGCCGAATGCCATTATAACGTGGTGACTAGTGACGTAGCAAATCTGATCGTTAATGCCTGTCCCTGTGATGGCTGCAGAGCCACGTGGGGCTGCACCTTACAACACAACAACCCTCTTAAGTTGCCGTTTAATGCAAGCTTCACTTTCTAGCCCATGCTAATTCAAGGTTGGGATCATCGTTTCAAACCCTGCAGTGGGTGATGGCGTGCGGGCGTAGTCATTATCGTCGCCGCCATGCTCCGCCGGCGGTGACGATTGTGTCGGTAGGTTTGCGGCGTCATCGTGAGGTAGTGACGCGTCCGTCTTCTTCGCAGGGAAGTCACTTATGGAGCTGATCCTCGAGCAGTTTGACGACTTGCTCGTGAAGATCCTCTTGTTAGCCGCCATCATCTCATTTGTGAGTATTTGATCGCGTGCACATGAATCGCTGGGAAAGGCTGTCACTATCAGTAATTCCGCATGTATAATATTCAGGATTTGGTGTCCGGAGTGTGGTTGATGAGTCGAACCTCCCTATTTTGTTACGAGAATGCTTAATGCGGTCTGTTGAGGGCGGCGTTAAGGCCTGAAGGCTGGAAGGACTGCTGCGCTCGCGCTAATAACTTACATGCCACTTCGCTTAATGAAACGTCCTGTTACGATTTTTCTCGGAATTATTCTAAGTCAAGCTTTGTGTAATCTTAGCAATCTTAAACTTAACCCCAGCCAGACCAAACACGGCCCCGACCGCACCCGATCCGACCCGACCCGACCCGACCCGACCCGACCCGCGTCTGTGAAAATCCCGATCCCTGAGTGGTTGACCCCAGCCAGCGTGCGCACTCTTGGCGCATTATCTATTTATTTACGGGTCTTTTCGGCGCTGGGAAGCGGGCCAGGGCGTTATTTTTCGGCGCGCTGAGATGGGACCGCTTGGCAGCGTGGCCGGCTGGCGTTGTCCGTTGCTGGGCCGCCGCCTGCCGGCCGGCCCAGCTTCAGATTAGCTCGTCTGGCGGCGCGCCTGTTTGCTCTGCGGGTCCCGGGGCATTTATTAGTTGTGTTATGACCGTTGTCTGTATGTTCTAGCGTGGTCGTGGTCGTCGATCCACTAAATCAGCCGTGATCGGTGCGGTGGGGCGTCTGCGCTGGGTCTGGCTGGGTCTGGGCGCCGAGCTGGGTGATCCGTGATCCGTCTGTGGATCAGCACCTCGTGCTCCTCCGGCGCGAATGGCAGCTGGGCGTGGGCGATCGCCCGGGCTGTCGCCGTGCGCCGGTGCCCCGAGTGGCGCCGGGTGCTTGGCTGATGACGTCACGTTTGCCGCAGGTGTTAGCCATATTCGAAGAGCACGAGGACTCGACCGAAGCCATCACTGCCTTTGTGGAGCCGTTTGTAATCCTGCTGATCCTGATCGCCAACGCCATCGTCGGAGTATGGCAGGTAAGCGGTCGACACGGACGCCTTATGGCGGGGTGGGGGAGAGGGGAGGAGCTCTGTCACCACCTGCGCGTTCAGTTGGTGTCAGCGCTTTTGTCGTATGACGAATCCCCCATCAGGCGCGACGGGAAGCTCGTGGACACAGCTCCTTAGAGCATCAACATTTTTGAACCTGTCTGTAACCCAGGTTGACCCATGATAAGCTGTGAGAGGAGGGGCGTGACATTGCTGGCACGCATGGAATTTTTACCAGCACGGGTCGTGTTAAGCAGTCCGTCAACGTTCTGTCAATCAGTCGCGTGGGCCCGGGCGCCAGAACTGGCCGTCTCCGAGCTTTGTGGCGTCGTGCCGACCAGTCCGTTATTCACTCCAGTTCGGGGGTCAGGCGACGATGATCAGTTCTCTACGCTTGTTTGGTGCGTTAAGTAGCTGATCACCGGCATCCTGGCGGGTTTTTACACGGTCTACGGCGCCACTTCGTACGAACCAGTTCGGCTGCACTCATCGCGTCGTATAGTTTCACAAGGAGGAAAAACTGGTTGTTGGGCCCGTTGACCTCCATACGGTACGCTGGAACATGGTAGAGTATTTGCCAAACGCACGACACACTCAGTTGTCGCCTGTTATACTGTGCGACATCGGTCGTAGCTGGCGGTGGAGGGCGTGCTCCGCAATCACGGCAGGGAAGCCGCTGAGCGCCAGCACCCAACCGGCGGCGGCTGGCGGCCCAGCGCCGGCCACTGGGCCCCGGCCGGCCCCGCCGCTGCCGCTGCCGGCCGGCCAGCCCCGCTGCTAAGCGGCTTCGCGAGCCGCCAGCGAACCGACGTCTCGGCCGATTAGTGTCACCTTGCCGCGTCAGTGCCGCGGTGCGCGGTCTGTCACGGCGTGCGGACCCTGTCCGGACGGGGGAGAGTGCTGGCCCCGGCACACGCCGGTATTCCCGCTGCGGCGCGGCGTGGCATCCTCTTCGTTTGCCAGTGTCGCCATGGCGGAGTCCCATGGGCAATCACGGAGCCATCTGTGGCCTCGATAGTGCTTGGTACGTTTCCCGCGGTCCCTCCGTTTACTATCATCCGTTGATACGCCGCCGCCGCCATTGGCTCGAATGCGCCACTTCCCCTGGCGAGGCCCGGCGGGCCCACCTGTTCCGCGCGGAGCTCAGCTGGTGCCGCCTCGCGCCGCGCCGCCAGCGGAAGTCGGCACAAACGGCGCTCGGCTGGCTGACGCGCAGTCACCGTCGCCCGCCTCTGATTGACGTCACGACTGATGACGTCACCGCGGCCGGCGGCAGACCGGACGGCCTCGCGCGGCCGCGCCGGCCGGACGTGGTCGCCGCCGATTGGCGCACGTGCGCGTGTGACGCGCCGCGATGACGGGGCGCCTGACGCCATGGACACGTGGCCGCCGCCGGCGGGACACGTGTGGCTCTCGTGTTTGCCGAGGGTGGCGCGGCGCGCCCGCGACACGTACGCGGCGGCTGGTCGATGTACGCCGACGGCCGGGCACCGGGTCATCGGCGACACCGGCGGGACACGTATGTCTCCTGCGATAGTAGCCGGTGCGCCCGCTGCACGCGCCCGCCTGACGGCCGGTGTTCGCTCGGCGGGCCGGCGCGGCGGTCCTGGATATCCGCGGTACCGGCGACCGTTCCAGCTGGCCCGGCCGCCGCGCGAATACTTGGCAGCGCTGGCAGTGCCGGCTTAGTCACGGCCCTGTGGAAAGGTCGCGTACGTGTACTGCCGCACCGGCGGCTGGGGCAGCATGCGGTTGAGCGGCCAGCGCCAGGGCGTTCGCCCGCGCAGCCTGCGGCGACGGCTCGGCTATTTCCGGGGTCGGTCCGCGGCCCCTCCGCGAGCCGTTCCGTATCGAAGCCCAGCCCGACCCGATAAGAGGCCGCGATTAGACGCGTGGTACGCGAGCGGCAACGCGCGAGGCATCACGGAGGCACGCCGCGTCGCGGGGAAGCGGTGCCGCTGCTGGGGTGCCGGCGGACCCTGACCTCGGCCCCGCACCGTCGCGGCGGCGGTCGGCTCACACGGCGCCTTGAATTGCGGTTACGTCACGGTAACCGCGCTCTGATGCGGCTGGTGAGCCGCGCGGACCGCTCACCGCAGCAGACATCGGGCTGAGGTTAGACCGACGGCAGGCGCGGCGCCTCCAGCCGGCGGCACGCGGCCGCGCGCACAGCTCAACGGCGAACCACGTCTGCAAGCGGCTGGGTATAGCTGTGTGTTGGTGCTTGGGCACAGTAATTTACCGCCTTTCGGGCGAATGAAACCTGTCGCGGCAGGTGTCTGCCGAGCGGGAACTCACAACGCAAATTAGGTTGGGTACTACCGGCGGCGAAATGAAGCGTTGGCCTGTTTTCGCATCGCCTTGTGATAAGGCTAAGGTCAGACCTGTCCAATTTCGTGGCCGATTTGTCGGGATTGCTCATTTCTAGCCGTGAGTCTGGACTCTGGAAAGATCCATAAACCAGACCAAACCATCTCAGATTGCCCTTGGAGGGGCACGGCGGCATCAGCTTCGGAGCTGCAGCACAGCCGAAGCCGGGCTAGAGCCGGGTCCGCTAACCAGTATTCTGTCGTCAATGGCACGCTCACGACTGGGCGCGATTGCGTCATGCCGGTGCTGCCTCTCGGCGTAACAACTGGGCCGGCCCCCGGCGTCACTCTGGCCGGGGGCGGTTGGAAGCGAGGTCGCCCACGGCGCCGACCTGGCTCGTCCGCTGACGACACAGCGCTGGTATTCTGCCGCACTTGACGGTGGTCCCGGCGGACGAGTCGTCATTTGACCCGCGTCGGCCGCGCTGACCTTAGGGCTAGCTTGCTGCAGCTGAGCGTCACCGTCTTGGCGAGGCGGGGCCGTCTGTGATCTGCGGCCCGGCGTTTCCGCGCACACTCCAACGGTGTTGAGGTCGTGTCATTACCGGCTCTCAGGCTAGGGTTACCGCCGGTGGTCGTCATAAAACAGCGAGTTTATTGGTTCGTTTTCTAGCTGTGTGGGTCAAGGACAGCGCCCGATCTCGTGGTCCAAACGGCACTGAGACTGCCGAAAAGTTCCCGATTCAATCACTAGCACAGGATTCAGAGTGGAAAATCGCCGTCGAATCGCAGTTCAGTGCAGCAGGGAACACCTGCTGCTGGTACTGAGAGAAGGCTGCCTGCGGCCCACCAGTACAGTTTGCAGACTTTACGTTCGCGTTACTTGCCTTTTAGTCGTTGAGATCAGACACTGCTACATGCGCGCCAGAAACTAAGATAGCTTCATTGGAGCTGATGGATACGAGCAGTCAGCGGTAATGGCGAAAAGCATTTCGCAGTGAAACTTCACCGGCGAGATCTTGCTTAGCGGCTTTCTTCGCTGCTGGTTAGGCCTTCACGTGCTCTAGAGTGCAAATACTACAGCAATTCAGCGCTGATTATTCCACGTAACCGACTATGGCCGCTAGACATGAAAGGTGATGACAAGAGTATGGCGTACGACGACGTGACATGGATATGACATTAAGTGATTCGGGAACGTCTTACCAGCCGGTAGAACCGACGGAGAGCTTTGCGGAAGATGTCAAGCGTTGTAACAGAACAGCTGTGACTCCTCGTCGGACGACTGATGCGCGCAGCCACCAATGAATGGTCCGTTTTCTGGAAGCTCTCAACGTGGTGTAAAGGCGCGATGCTCAGTTGCGTTCAACCGTAACACCCGACTGGACTGCTCCCAGGATGAAGGTACCGCCAGCAGCCAGCTTCTCAAAGCAAAACTTCGACCTTAGCTGCCACGACCCAAGCCTTCGCATTCCCTGACCTTTCTGACCATGTCATGACCTTCCTCGCCTCGCCGCGACCTTCGCTGCGGATCGGGATGCATTTGTTTGAATTGGTGGCCATGCATCAGCACTGTGTAGGCGTCCGGACTCACTGATAGCCTTCCCCACGGATTTATGTGGAAGACCTGTGATGGTATATCACCGCCAACGTAAGTATTTGGTATGATGAAATAGAAGCGGATGTTTGTATTGATGGTGGGCTGCGCCCAGGCGGGCACTGCCGCCAGATGCAGGTGCGCCTTGACCGAGCGGGCCCGGAAGCATAGATGGAAGATCGCTGGGCTTAAAAGTGAATCACGGCCGTGCTCACATTGGTCGCCGTACTTGTTGCGCCGTTTGGGACCGAACTCCGCTGACGCTCCATCCTCACACCCGGCTGCGGTCTGAGAGGGCGCCGTATGCTCGGCACACGCATCCCTAACACTCGGAGCGGAGCCCTGCGGAGTCCTCTGGACCCCGTAGCCACCTGTTGATGTCCATTACCGGCGGGAGCTGGCAATGAGCATGCCACGAATATGTGCAGCTGTCCCGGCGCCCGGTGCTGCTGGCCGCGCGCTGGCCGGCAGGGGTGCTGGCCCGGTGCTGCTGGCCGCGCTACCGGCCGGCAAGGACGCTGGCCCGATGCTGCTGGCTGCGTCGGTGGCCGGCAGGGACGCTGGTCCGGGGCTGCTGGCCGCGCCGCTGGCCGGGAGGGACGCTGGTCCGGGGCTGCTGGCCGCGCCGCTGGCCGGGAGGGACGCCGGTCCGATGCTGCTGGCTGCGTCGGTGGCCGGCAGGGACGCTGGTCCGGGGCTGCTGGCCGCGCCGCTGGCCGGCGGGGACGCCGGCCCGGTGCTGCTGGCTGCGTCGCTGGCCGGCAGGGACGCTGGTCCGGTGCTGCTGGCCGCGCCGCTGGCCGGCGGGGACGCTGGCCCGGTGCTGCTGGCCGCGCTACCGGCCGGCCGGCCGCCGAGAATGCAGCTTAGCGGCTGTTGTCGGCCGCTATTTTTACCGGCGCCGCGATTGACAGTGGCGCGCGGCCCGGCGGCGCCGACCGCCGGCGCGGCCGCCGCCCCATTGGCCGTCGAAGCGGCGGCTGGCCAACAGCGGCGACGCGCGCGACACACGCGCCGCCAGATTCTGTTACGGCCGCCTTATAAGGGTGCGCCGCTGGCCGGCCGGCCGTGAGAACGTGTCGTCGGCGGCGACCGAGGCGCGCCGGCGTCGGTCCGGCCAGCGGCTATCGCCGGATAGGCTGACGCGCCGACGCCTGCTTGCAAATAGGATGTGGGCGGCTGCTCCCCCCCCCCCCCCCCCCACTCCTCCCTGGACGCACGGCACGCGTCAACAAACACCGAATGGTGGGGCCACGCCCCGCCGTAGATCGATGTGCGGCGATTGTGGCGAACTGTGCGGTTTGGCGGGGCGCCGTCCCGTCCGTGTGCTTTACACACACACAAGGGAGCGGCGCCGCTGGGGCGCTTTTGGTCCGGTCGGTCGGCCGCGCTGTGCTGGCTGTGCTGGCTGGGCCACAGAGCCGGCTGGTGCTGGGCAGGCTGACGCACTCAACCGGGCTGAGCGGTGCGGCCATCTGCCGGGCCCTGGCATCCGATAGGATTAGGTGGCTGAAGGCCGGCATTAGGCGCTATGTAGAAAAAAGCCAGCCGCGAGCGTCACGTCCGTTTCAGTGCCGTATTTCCTGTCTCCCATGTGCAATTCATTGCGTATTCGTGGCCGGGCAGCAGCGCTCGTTCACAATCGGCGCGTGAGTCGTTATCGGGCGGACAATGGCCTCCATTATGCGGCCGTACCCCATGACCGGGCCTGACCAATGCCGGGCGTGACGTCCGCTGGTGAGCCGGCAGCCGGCGGTGATCTCCCGCCCGCGGCGCGGCGGAGCCGCAGAACGGGTTTGTCGCCGCGGACGCCGCCGCCGCCGCAGCCGCAGCCGCTGCCGTGTCCGAGTCGGCTCCGCGCCACGGAGCCGTCGCCAGGCCGTCTCCAGGGCATGTGACGTGTCGGTGTGACGTGGTCTTGACCGGACCGGAACGTGACGGACGGACGAGCGGACCGGGGGATGCGGTGCGGGGGACCGGGCGGGCCGGGACGCCGGGCGGACGGACAGTGCAGGCAGTACTGGGCCGGGGAGTGCCGTGCGAACGGACCGGGGGGGGGGGGGGGGGGGTGCCGGGCGGATGGGCAGTACGGGCCGTTTCGGACGGGTGGTCCGGGCAGTACCGGACAGACGGACCGGGAAGGCGCCGTGCCGCCGCCTCCGGGCCGTGCCAGCACACGCGTGATGCAGCGCCCGATCGGCGCCGGTCGCCGCCGGTCGGCGCGTGATCAGGAATCGGCGGGAGCTGTGCGAGCGGCACGATCGGGCGGCGGTGGCGGCGGCGGCGGCCGACATCTGTGCGTTACGCCAAACAGCCGTCCGCCAGCGTTATGCCAACAGCTTCGCCGCTGCACCTGTGTATATACAGCGGTGTTTTATATACTCCGAACTCTGTTTTTAGTAACGGGCGTGCTGCGGAAAGCTTGTTCTTTTCACGCACGTCTTTTTGTCATCGTAGATTTTTTGCGTTGGTTTCTGAGAATGACGGATATAATGCTCAAGCACTTCCATTGCATCACCTGTGATCCTGCCTTGGTACCGTGTATACCCGTCGATTCGCTTTTTGAAGGACATTGGAAAATACCGCAGCATCCAGCAAACGCACTTGAAATCCTGATCCCGGGAGCTAAGGGCTCGTGAGAGTTTTGCTTGAGATGGTTACCTGTTTCGGTGAGCTAGGGTTAAAGGAGTCATGGCTGTTCGAACATTCGCTTTAGCTTATATAATAATGGGTGGACTGGGGAGCCAGCCGTTGCTGATTCCTGTTTTCAACAAGGCGGCAGGGCTCGAACAGCGGGCCATTCGCACGGATTGCGTGTTTTCGCCGATGCTCGTGACGGTTCCTCGTGGCCTCCACCGCCTCCTGCGTCTCCTGCCCTCTGCTGCCCCCCCGTGTCTCGGCATCTGTTCCTGTCCTTTTGTGTCGTGCCTGTGGATGTCTCACTTGTTCGCTTGCGTCCTGAGTTTACGTGTTCCACCGTATTCGCGCCCACCCCCGCTCATTTATATCACAGCTGACTGTGCGCAGCGCCTTCCCGTGCGTCCGCGTTTGACCCCCCCCCCCCCCCCTTTGACCGCTGTCCCTCTGACCGCCGTCCCCCTTGACCGGTTCCCCCTCTGACCACTGCCGCCCTGACCGTTGCCCCTCCCCCCCCCGACCGCTGCCCCTTAAAGCGCTGCCCTCTGACCGGTGCTTTTCTGCCCCTTTGACCGCCGCCCCTCTGACGTGTCGCCGGCCCGTCCCCAGGAGCGGAACGCCGAGAGTGCGATCGAGGCGCTGAAGGAGTACGAGCCCGAGATGGGCAAGGTGGTGCGCTCGAACAAGGCCGGCGTGCAGATGATCCGTGCCCGTGAGATTGTACCCGGCGACATCATCGAGATCTCCGGTACGACACCGGCTGCGGCGGGGCACGCGGCGCGGCGCCGTCACGGCGCGCCGCGACGCTCGTTGGGTGCATCGGTCGAGTGGGAGTCTGTGAATGAAGATGGGTCGTTTGGGATGAAAGCGATTGCCTTTTCTTGTGACCTGCTTCCGCTGTCATATAGCTTGCTATCGGTGTTGATCATGTCTTTCCATGCGACGCGCAGTTGCTGCAGTGTGACGTACGTTGATGCTGCTCGTGCTCCGTCGACCTGTTGCGACGTGGGCTTCCATGTGGCTTCTACTGAACCCCACGGATCCACCTAACGGGCGCAACAAAACGGATCTCACTGGCGTGGCGCTGAAGTGGCTCGGACCCTCGGAGGCCCTCTGACGGCATGGCTGTCGCTCTCCAGTGCCACGCCGACCCTCGCTTTACCCCGTGTGGGCACACAGCGACGTCCTGACGTCCGTGCGTCACCTTGACCCCGCGGAGAGCCGGCGGTGACGTCACGCTGACCGCTGGCTGACCCGGTGTTGGCAGTGGGCGACAAGATTCCGGCTGACCTTCGTCTGATGAAGATCTTCTCCACCACGCTGCGCATCGACCAGTCGATCCTCACCGGCGAGTCGGTGTCGGTGATCAAGCACACTGACCCCGTGCCGGACCCGCGCGCCGTCAACCAGGTCAGTGGCGCCCCTGCCGTGCTCCCCACCCCTCCGCTGACCCTCACCACACCGCCGTGAGGCGGCGCGCGCCCAAACCTTCGTGGAATGGAGTGACCCCTGGCGTGTGTGGCTGAAGTGCTCTTGATACAACTTTGCCCAGGTGTTTTAAGGTGTTTGAATTGATGTGATGGCTGATTTGCTAAAAGGCATGGATGTGAAGTAGATCCGGTGTGCCCTCGATTTGCATGACACTGGCGGCCTGTAAGCCGCTGAAGTGATCCGGCGGGTGTACAGTTTGGGGCTGTCTTGTGCTTACGTCCTGGTTCTCTCCTCTACATGCAGTCGGTGATGTTGTATCTGGCGCGCTGTGGAGTTGTCAAGGCCAAACTGGAGATCATAGGAGTGGCCCAGGCAATTTGCTAGCAGCGATTCAATGTTAAAAACGGGCTTGCATCATTTTAATCCCCAGATGTCCCGGATATCTCGGTGTTTCCTTCGCATGTGGTTGCAGGGTGAAAGGTTTTTCGACATCACGCATCTCGTGCTTGGTTCGGGTGTCCGGAGAATGGGTGCAGTAGCTTCGTTTGTGGGCCGCATCTCTGCCACTGCTTCAAGAAGAGGGCTGCTGGGCTGTCCGCAAGGCATTGTGCATGTTAGGGCATGAGTCACGGAAGTAAGGCAAAACAGCGGCGGTAAACGGACGCTGGAGAGTAGCTAAAGGCGTGCTGGACATAAGCTGAATGGGTCATGCTCCAACATTTCCAGCCGGACGTTATCCCGATATGACGCTTGGCGTAAACGGATACCCGGGACCGGGTTCCAGATTGTCCTGACCCCGGCCTTCCCCAGCCTACCGCCAGCCGTCCGGGCGTCTGTACGCTGCGGGGTGCGTGGTGTCGGCCTGACCTGAGCCCTTATGACTAACCGCCGCCCGCGCCGGGGTGGGCGCCGGCGGTGCGCACGGAGTGCCCAACGGCCGCCCTGAGCGGGCCGACCCCTCTGCCGGCCTGCTGCTCAGTGAGCCGGACGGGTCGCCACTGACCGGCCCCGTCTAACCCGAATCTCTCTCTCTCCCCGCCTGACAAGCGTGACTCCGGGGACACGGCCAACTCGGAGAGTAAGGCCAAGGCCATCATCCAGGTAAATCGCCGCGCCGACCGTGGGCGCGGCGCCGCCGCCCCTCATTTTGTATCGCTCGCTCGCTCTGTCTCTCACGCGCACCTAGCACACGCCGCCACCGCCGTTGCCGGGTGATCTAGCGCTTGGAGCGGGGGCCGGGCAGGTTCAGCCTCCGGTGGCCGCCTCCGTCCAGCTGATGACGCCAGCAGACGCCTCCGCTAACTGCCTGGACGGCGCCGTAACCTGCCGCAGCCGGCCGCCAGCCGGGCTGCGTCAACGGCCGCCGGCTGGCCGCGCCTCGCCGCTGCTTGTGCCGGACGTGCTGGGCTGGGCGGCGCGCTGACGGGCTGGTCGGTCGGACGGTCCGCGGCGGTGCCGCTCCCGTCCGCTAGCGTAGACGCTTCTCGGTGGCTGCGTCGCCGGCTGCGTGTCTGCCCGTCTCTGTGTGTTTGTGCCGCCTGCTCGTGTGTCCTGCCGTGTTTGTTCACAGCTGTTAGCGCGCCGTGCCGCGTACTCATCACCGCGCTGTGCACAGAGTGTGCTGCCGCCTGCCGCTGGCCGATCGCCGCTGTGTGGTTGCCTGTGCCCCGGCCGCTCGTCCCGCCTCACCTCGTGCTGACGCGCCGCCGTCCGCCGCCGCCGCCAGGACAAGAAGAACATCCTGTTCTCGGGCACGAACGTGTCGGCCGGCAAGGCGCGCGGCATCGTGATCGGCACCGGCCTGAACACGGCCATCGGCCAGATCCGCACCCAGATGGCCGAGACGGAGGAGATCAAGACGCCGCTGCAGCAGAAGCTGGACGAGTTCGGAGAGCAGCTGTCAAAGGTGCGAGCCCGCAGCGGCGAACCGGTGTCTGGACGGAAAGAGTTCCCTGAGAAAGAGAAGATTAGCTGAATTTGATAGGGCTTTGTAACATCGTGTGATGGACACATTATCGGCTTCATGCAATTCTGCAACCCCGATATGTGTGTGTTTGCTGACCATTATTTATGTTAACATCTTCGCTGGTGGCTATTTCATCTTCAACCCTCCTATGAAGGTGAGCGCACGTTCCGCACCTGCTGAAATTACCTGCGTCGCTGGAAGCGTCTTGGCGCCAACTCTTACGCGCCACCGGAGCCCCAGAGTGTGCGACATGGAGTGACCGGGCGCCCTCCGCCGCAGGTGATCTCGATCATCTGCGTGGCCGTGTGGGCCATCAACATCGGCCACTTCAACGACCCGGCGCACGGCGGCTCCTGGATCAAGGGCGCCATCTACTACTTCAAGATCGCCGTGGCGCTGGCCGTGGCCGCCATCCCCGAGGGCCTGCCGGCCGTCATCACCACGTGCCTGGCGCTGGGCACGCGCCGCATGGCCAAGAAGAACGCCATCGTGCGCTCGCTGCCGTCGGTGGAGACGCTGGGCTGCACGTCCGTCATCTGCTCGGACAAGACGGGCACGCTCACCACCAACCAGATGTCCGTGTCGCGCATGTGCGTGTTCGCCACCGAGTCGAGCGTGCTCGAGTTCGACGTGACCGGCTCCACGTACGAGCCCGTCGGAGACATCTTCATGGGTGAGCGCGGCGCACGGGCCGGAGAGAGGGAGGCGCGTTTGGCACGGGACGGCGCCGCTGCTACGGCACGGCACGGGGCGGCGTTGGGATCGCCGGCGCGGCAGATTGTGCGCTGAGTTGCCCGTGTAGCTCCCGCTCGGTCGTCTATTTGGGTTTCGTGGGGTCGTATGTGTGCGTTTTGTAGGGTGTTTGTTTGGGTGTCGTGCCATGTATATTGCGTTTTCAGATGTTTGTATTTTCGTGTATCACGCACGGTGAGCGGCGCGGCTCGCCAGCGTGTGACGCGACTGACGCTACCGTCCTGTCGTCTGGCAGGCGGCGCCAAGGCCAAGGTGGCCGAGTACGAGGTACTGCAGGAGCTCGCCACCATCTGCGCCATGTGCAACGACTCGTCGATCGACTACAACGAGTTCAAACACTGCTTCGAGAAGGTGGGCGAGGCCACCGAGACGGCGCTGGTCGTGCTGGCCGAGAAGATCAACCCGTACGGCCTCTCCAAGACGGGCCTGAGCCGGCGCGAGGCCGCCATCGTCGTCAAGCACGACATGGAGTCCAAGTGGAAGAAGGTGAGCGCCGCCCCCGGGCTGGGCTACTGTGGCAGCGGCCGGCTCCGTACCGCGATCGGAGGCGGGCTGGCGGTGTTGGCAGGCTGTTCACAGCGTGGCGTGGCCGAGTGTCATCGAAGCGATGTCCTGCTGTGTACCGGCTGTCGCACCATGCTGATGTCACCGCTCACCACCGCCGTCTCCCGCGCAGGAATTCACGCTGGAGTTCTCGCGCGACCGCAAGTCCATGTCCTGCTACTGCACCTCGCTCAAGCCCACCCGGCTGGGCAGCGGCGCCAAGATGTTCTGCAAGGGCGCGCCCGAGGGCGTCATCGACCGTTGCACACACGTGCGCATCGGCACCACCAAGGTGCCGCTGACGGCGGCCATGAAGAACAAGATCTTGGACCGGACGCGCGAGTACGGCGTCGGCCGCGACACGCTGCGCTGTCTGGCGCTGGCCACCATCGACACGCCCATGAAGCCGGAGGACATGAACCTGGTCGACGCCACCAAGTTCGCCTCGTACGAGGTGGGTAGAGCGGAGTGGACCGGCTGCGGCCTCTGTGAGCTATGAACCCTGGTCTGGTGTCGGTGGCTCGCTCCGGGTAATTTTAGTGTGCTGTACGTGTTCGGACCATGCTGGGCGGAGCGCGTTTCCCGGTCTGTGTGTCGTTTCCGTTGCAGGTAGGGGATTCTCGGTCAGGAACTGGCAGACCCAAACCCCACATTCATGCACTGGCAGGGCTAGCCTCCGTCCCATGCCCAGCGTACGTCGGTCCGCGGACGCTGACCACCCCCCCCCCCCCCCCTCCCCGCCTCGCCGCAGGTCAACATGACGTTCGTCGGCGTCGTTGGCATGCTGGACCCGCCGCGCAAAGAGGTGGCCGGCGCCATCCGGCGCTGCCGCAAGGCCGGCATCCGCGTCATCGTCATCACCGGCGACAACAAGGGCACGGCGGAGGCCATCTGCCGGCGCATCGGCGTGTTCGCCGAGGATGAGGACACCACCGGCTTGTCGTACTCGGGCCGCGAGTTTGACGACCTCTCTGTGGAGGAGCAGAGCGCCGCCTGCGCGCGCGCGCGCCTCTTCTCGCGCGTCGAGCCGTTCCACAAGTCGAAGATCGTCGAGTACCTGCAGGGCATGGACGAGATCTCTGCGATGACGGGCGACGGTGTGAACGACGCGCCGGCGCTGAAGAAGGCCGAGATCGGCATCGCCATGGGCTCGGGCACGGCCGTGGCCAAGTCGGCCTCGGAGATGGTGCTGGCCGACGACAACTTCTCGTCGATCGTGGCTGCCGTCGAGGAGGGTCGCGCCATCTACAACAACATGAAGCAGTTCATCCGCTACCTCATCTCATCCAACATCGGCGAGGTCGTGAGGTGAGCAACGGTGGCGCCGGCCAGAGGGGACTGGGGGAGCGTATCGTCTGCGCCGCTGGAGCCGCTCGAGGGGTTGGAGTAACTGGATGTGTGTCGCTAGGCGCAGACGTTCGGGCGGGATTCTCGGCGCATGTGGCTGGTTGGGGAAGCCGTTAGCGTCTGGGAGGCACCTGTGTTACGACAGTTTTGGGCCTTGTTGGCTTGTTGTGGGCCTGTAAAACTAAGATTATTGCGTTTCTTCACGACTGAAATGGACGCCGTCGACGTTGTTTTCTCTCGACGTGCGTGCACGTCAGCTTTGTGTGTGACTGCGAGCGCGTCCGTCGTTGAATATCCGTGTAACGTGCCGTGCCCTGTTTGCAGCATCTTCCTGACGGCGGCGCTGGGCGCTCCCGAGGCTCTGATCCCCGTCCAGCTGCTCTGGGTCAACCTGGTGACGGACGGCTTCCCGGCCACGGCGCTCGGCTTCAACCCTCCCGACCTGGACATCATGGACAAGCCGCCGCGCTCCTCCAAGGAGACGCTCATCACGCGCTGGCTGTTCTTCCGCTACATGTGCGTCGGCAGCTACGTGGGCGCGGCGACGGTGGGCGCCGCCGCCTGGTGGTACATGCTGTCGCCGTCCGGCCCCCACCTCAGCTACTACCAGCTGACGCACCATCTGCAGGTACGGCGGCGGGCGTGACCCGCCGGGCACTGGGCACCGCTGTCAGAGGCGCCGCTGTGCACTGCGACAGCAGCGTGGCAATTATATGAGGCTGCGTTTGTTTGCTGTTGTTTACTGTGGGATGCTTCTGATGAGTGATGGCATGACATGTTCAGTGTCAGAGAGTGGTGTTATGCTCTGTAGATGAACGTGTGTGACAAACAGCTAACCTGTTCTGATCAATGTGCATGATTTGCAAAGGTGACCCCGGGCTTACACCGGGACTTTTCGCTTGAATCGACTGCAACGGACAATCCAACCCTTTGGAGGCGTCCGCCTGGCGCATGTACCACCATGCAGCGTCACTTAGCCGGCGTCGTGGCTGCGCGGCGGGTGAACTGACGCGGGACCGGCCTTGTCGCCAGTGCCTGGGCGGCGGCGACGAGTTCCACGGCATCGACTGCGCCGTCTTCAACGACCCGCACCCCATGACCATGGCGCTCTCCGTGCTGGTCACCATCGAGATGCTGAACGCGCTGAACTCGGTGTCGGAGAACCAGTCGCTGCTGGTGATGCCGCCCTGGCAGAACTTCTGGCTCATCGCCGCCATCTTCCTGTCCATGTCGCTGCACTTCATGATCCTCTACGTGGACATCTTGTCGGTGAGTGGGCCGCCGCTGCCGCAGCCGCCACGTGGGGCGCGTACGGTGTGCGGTCGCGGGTGCTGAGACTGGGCGCGCGCACGAGTTGGGTCAGGGTTCAGACTTGTGAGACGCGTGGTAGAACACCAACTAGGCACGAGCCGTTGACGTAGCATATGCTGGGGGAGCCGTCCTTTATTATACCGGGGGGCACTGGTTGAACAAGGATATTAAGTAGTCATCGATATATGCTACGATGATATTCCATTACCGCACTACTCTATGCGGCATTTTATGACAATACCGCAGTGGAGTATCTTGGTACATCCCTGTGATTGCTTGATAGCTGCGTTTCGCCAGCACTTTCTGGTACATTAAGTCAATAATTCCGATAATAAATTATTAGAACAAGTAATACCCCAAAAATCAGCACAAGCCATATCAAATTCGATTCCATTGGCGAACCGGTGCTGCTTCGTCCGTGTACCCGCAAGGCGTCGCCTGTCACCTGCCTGGTGGTTGGCCTGATGCATCCCCCGCTTTGGAGCCGGGCGTGTGGAGAAGTAGGACCAGGCCGGGACACTAGAAGACTGACTGCAAACTGCAGTGTATACGACGCGGTGCTCCATCTCACGAGCCGGTGTCCCTTTCCAGACCATCTTCCAGATCTGCCCACTCAGTTTGGAGGAGTGGATCGCCGTGCTGAAGATCTCGCTGCCCGTTCTGTTTATGGACGAAACGCTGAAGATGGTCGCTCGCAAATACGCTGACGGTAATAACACGATTCCCTCCGTGGTGGCTATACTCGTGGTGTGGGTAGCCTACGGTTATTACTTTTACGTTTCTACGTTTGTCTAGTGGAGACCGTGCTCTGTGATGCGGGGTGCCTAGGAAATCATTGGGGGGCGGGACAGGGTGGGGCGGGATGGGGCGGGCAGGGCGGGGACTGACCGGGTGGAACCAGCCGGCCGGCGGGGACAGCGCGCGTGCGGTCGAGGTACGTGCGAGCGTGAGCGTGTGTGCTGTAGTTGCCGTGTGGCTGCCCTCTGTAGAGGCATGTGCCGCCGCCGGCCCGCGTGCCTCTCGTCTTTTAAATATCCAACGTACTGTACAGATAATACGATGTACATTATTCATAGCTAGTGATGCGCAGGCGGCGGGCAGTGGTGGCGCCCGCCGGCGCGGGCCGCCGGCCTCCCCCACTAACGCTAACCGCCCGCCCGGCTCGCCACTGACATTCCCTCGGCAGCCCTGTGTTCTGGCGCTGCCAACCGCGCCGCCGCCCTTTTATACCGCGCGCACGACTGCGCAAGCCTGTTTTTATGCGTTGCTGTGGGTCGGTTGCCCAAATTGTCGGCCGCCGGCGCCGGCGTGCGCTGCCGTGTACTGGACGGTGGCCGCCGGGCCGGCGCGGGGCGGACGGGCGGGCGGGCGGCTCGCCGTGTGATCATCTCTGGACCGGTGCGCGTGAATGCAGTGCATCGATCGCCTGCTGCACGTGGCACGCGTATCGTCATCTCTGTGTCGTTACTGTTTTCACCGCCGGCCGTAATAAAGACCGTTGGTACAAGGCGCGCCGTGTTTGATGCCCCTGCCCTCTACTAACCGTAAACGCCCGCCTGAGACGCGGAGACGGCTCCGCAGTAAAGACTAACCACTAACCGTCCGGAGCTGCCGGCGCCGCCGCCAGCTTCGGTCTCGTCTGGAGCAGGTGAGAGGCGCGACGAGGCGGGGGACAGACGGCTGCCACGAGGGCGGCCGGTGAGTGGCAGACGGTGTAGGGGTCGGCGCTGGGTCCCGCCTCCTTTCGAGCCAGCCGAAATGGCCGGAGGTGCGGTGCTGCCAACTGGCCTCGATGCATGGTCGTGATGGGGCCTTCATCCCAGCTCTCCCATCCGGTGGTCACAACTGCGAAGTCTCTGCGGACGTTGAAGACGGCATCCCATTTAGAGTACGGCATGGACGCTGCCATCTGAGCGACCTGCTACCTCGGCTTCTCAAGCCCGCCCGTAGCTCAGCCCCTGCCATGGCGCCCGATTATTTTTGGCTTCTTTGATCATTGCTCGCTGCCGTTCCCCACTTTCCACTCCTCGTCACGCTGCGGTATCACACGCGGTTATCAACTGAGATCGGTTTGAGCTGGCACGTAGGCTAAAACCGGCCTCGATGTGGGCGACGACCGGCGAAGCGGGCATGCATGCTCAAGCTTCTCGGAAATCTAATATTGGTCTTCTGATCACTGCTGATTTCATCTGTATGCAGCAGAGCTGCAATTTGTATTGAACAGATTCTGATGATTTCCGAAATCGCAAATGGACAGGTTTGATCCGGTCGGGAGCCGAGCGGATTTGTCGAGGTTGTATCGTAGGTACTGACTGGATGATCTCGCTTGTATGTCGGCTTTTAATCCAAGCATAAGCTTCGTTGTAAGATTCGACATGTTCCATAACCCATCCAAAATTTCCGAAATTTCTCCTGCTGGTGATGGCCTCAGGAAAACATTTTTCTGTGTGGGGAGGGAGGGGGGTTGCCTTTGCAGAGGGCAAGGTTTGATGGAATTAGCGGAGATCGGTTTCCAGTCAAGAAATGAGTTACTGCGCGTACATCAGTGTGGATGGAGAAGAGGAGTCGAGAAGAAGGGTGGGTGGCAGGCTGCAACGTTGGCAGCGCGAGCTGATCACGTTAAAGCAAAGCCTGCCGACCGCTTCGGCAGCCCCAAGCGCTCGGACGTGAAAACTGGCGACGGACGTGGCGCAGTCGCGCGCGCTTGGTTACTTTACAAAAGCTGACCGCGTCTCATTTGTGTCATATCACCATAGATTCATTGCAAGTAAATGTGCGGCACAGCGCGGGCCAGAACACCTCTGGCAAAGCGTCACTATGATACAATGGCATCGCCTAGCCATCAGCCCGGGCCATGCCCAGCCAGCGGGTCGTGTAGAGCAGGAAGCCGGCAGGAAAGCCTCGCAGCCACCCGGCCAAGGCCACCAAGCACATGTAGAGTGCAGCCCTGTATATTTATGTTGCTTTTGTGGCGATCGCTTGCGTTTGAGCTATGATCTACCGCCACCTGACTGACGTGCACCTTCTCTCTCCGCACTGCTTCTCCGTTGATCGCTGGCTATGCTGCAGTGCTGGGATGCTAAGCAAGGTGAGATGTAGGTTTGCTTTTTAGCCTGGCTTCGACTCTTCCCTCCTTCCGGCTGCTCTAGCCGTTCGCAATGATGCTCCTGCTGCCCGCGTGCTTTCGAGACGTGCGGCGTCTCGACGCAGCCGCGGCTCAGGGATGATCGTTCGCTCAGCACTGGGTTGTGATGATCACGGAAATACCGCGCGAGTCACGAAAGCCGATCCGGCCTGTGAGGATTCCATCTGAATCTCTGAATTATGCCAGCGTTATTGTTTTGCAGCAGTGCGTGCCGCGCTAAATCAATCCCTATAATGCGTTGCTGTCGTGGTGAAGGAGGCGCCGTGTTCACGCGGGGCGCCGTTTTTTCAGTCCCCGTGCAGAACGAGTCCCGTGAATGGTAAACCTCGACCGCCGCTCCCATCAACTGGTGGTCGTCCAGCGAGACGTCCCGCGGCTGCTGCCAGCCGCCTGGGATAGCGAGTGAAAGGGAGCGAAACAGAGGGAAGAGAGAGAGAGAGAGCGAGAGCGAGAGAGTGGGTCGGACAGACCAGGCACCCGCAAGGTCTGACGACGAACAGACCCCTTCCGCGGTACGGAGCCGCACGCGTGCGTCAGATGGCGCTAGAGTCTGCGCGATAGGTGGTGTCACCGGCACCAAGCTTCGCCCAGCGGGGCCCAGATGTCGCCGTCGTCGCGTCCGCCGCCGCCCGTGAGTCCTGTACATACGCCACACTGGCGCGCGTGTAAATACGGTTGTTATCCTGTAGATGGGTCTTCGTGTCTAGTCATGTGAGTACAACCCGGTTCTGTTGTCTCCGAAATATGCTCAAACCTGGCCGACGTATTCCCCGCGGGACGGGGGGAGGGGAGGGGGCGGCCGCGGGGCACGAGGGGACCGGGTGGCGGAGGGGCGGCGCGGGCCGCAGGCCCGCCGCCTCCGGGAGGTGGGGCCTGCTGCCTTCGCCCCCCGACGGTGGCCCGCCCGCCCCCGCGGTCCGCCGTCGTAGGCAGTTAAAATGAACCGATGTATAACACGTTATAATTTGGGAGTTTTAATAGAATTTATGATTTTATACGCATCGCGCTGTTGGGAATAGAAACGAAAATGTGGGGAATGCTGCGTTTTTATGTGCGTGGTTTGGAGCCGAGCCGGAATAAGGTAAGAAGGCATTCAATGACACTGCCATCCTCGTCATCGTTGTTTGCAGAACGGCAGCTATTCAAAGACGGTTCAAAACAACATCGGCCTTGAAACAGGGGCCGCAATATATTTACTCGCTGAAGTTGCAAGTGGCAAGCGACGGATCAGTGGCATGTGAGCATTTTTGGTGGCATTATAACCAACCATAACTCGAGAGTTTTCGAGCTCTGCTGCGAGGCTGTCCCGCGGAACGTGAGTCATCTCGTTATTGCATCTCACTGCGGAAGTGATGACGTCACCACGGGTTGTCCCGACGATAACAGTGGATGTCCTGGCGCCAGATATCCCGAAGATGATCAAAGGTTCTTAGTGTGGCCCAATAAACATCCAGCTGCCAGAGGCCCGCGAACTGCAATATTCCGATTAATGCATTTGCGATGCATCTTCCGCTTGTGCTCAAGGGCTCGTCTGATGAAGTGGCTTGGCGAAAGGAGACTCAGCTCCATCTGCCAATTCCTGCCAGCTTTGCAAATACGTGCCAAGGTTAGGGGCTGGATAACATCCAATTCTGGTTTGCGGCTCCACGAATTCAGCTGGTGGAGATCGCGTCTTCACAAGGCTCCGTAGCCATGGGTTCTTCTTGGCCCCGCTCGTTCGACCTCTGCGTGGGCCGCGTTGTGGAGGCGTTGGCGGGCCGCGAAGGCAGATTTGTCCGAAGTTTTGCCCCACTGCTCCTGATCGAAACCGGCCAGCGCTACCCAGAACCGAACACCCACTGGTTCCCACTGGTTTAACTGGTTCTGAGTGAACGGGAACATCTCCGGGCGGAAAAGCATTTTGCGCGGTCTGTCTGGACGTGCTAAAATCATGAAGCCGTGGGGCAGCCGGGCGAGAGCCCACAGGGAGTGCTTGTGATGGGGAATGATTTTCGTATATTTTTAACAGCTGGACTGGGCACACGCCTCGTGTCTTCCAGGTCCCCCGTCGTTGCTGTAAAGGAATTCGAATCAACATGCGTGCAGTTTTCTCCTTCCTCTCTCGCTCCGCCATTTCCAGCCAAGAGCTTCATGCATGCAGGAGCGTCACAGCGGATACGGTGGAAACGGCTATATGTACACTTCGCGCGACAGTGGTAGTGGTCGCTTGCTATCATTAAGTGAAGATAGGACAGTGTTTATAATATGCATGCATTTTTGGGCATAAGTAACTTCCGAATCACAAGACATGATAACGCTATGCACCATTGCAAGCGGTCTTTGACATGACATGTTAAGTAATTAATACATTTCCACTATGAACCATGTTGTAGATGCATAGCTACAACAGGTATACTACGCTGAGTGCCCACGGCACAGTCTAAATGTGTCTAAATGTATTCACGTTGTTTTTGTTTTGTTTTTTTGTTCCCGGTCCCCAACGTGAGCCCCTGCGGAGAGGCCAGCTGCCCCTGGCGGGTTTATGCCGCTGGAGGGAGGCGAGACGCCGCCGGCGACGGCGCCAGGCTGCCGAGGCTGACGCGTACTAGTGGGCTTACCTGCTGCGTGACGTCCTGAGGTGTGCCCGCACCACTTGGCGGGGCCTCACAACCCGCATATGGATACAACACTCCCTCTCGAAGCAGACCTTTCTCGGAGAATTGATCGGACGCTGCGTGATGTGCTCGCCGCACAGGGAGGCCCGCTTCGTGGCACTTGTCTGTCAAAGGTCCACGCACCCAGGAGCCGCTTCTAAATGGACAGACAGCCCTCATTCAGATCTATGCGGAGCTTCCGTTGCATTTGGCACTACCGCGTTGAATTGTCTGCTCACATTATGCTACAGCTGTACAGGCCTTTCGGATTAATTCAGACGTGTCGGTTCTCAAGTCCCTAGCAGTAGACCTTGCTTTGTTGACGTAAGCATGCCTTATCTCGTAAGACAATTGAAACAAATTTGGAGTAACCACCGATTGAAAATCATAGCTTTCCCTCCCCCGGCGCTCGTGCTTTAGTGCTTTTGTGCCACCACTGGCTGGCAGCACATGCAGTCTGCGGTGTAGCCAGCCCGTGCCTCAGACCACCCTAACATCGCGCCGCGAAGGGCCGAACAGCGTCAGCCTCGCGCCGCGGAGCTCGCGCCAATGAGACGCGCCGAACACTCAGCCTCGCGCCGCGGAGCTCGCGCCAGTGGGGCGCGCCGAACACTCAGCCTCGCGCCACGGAGCTCGCGCCAGTGAGGCATGCCGAGCATTGTCAGCCTCGCGCCGCGGAGCTCGCGCCAGTGAGGCGTGCCGAACACCGCCAGCCTCGCACCACGGAGCTCGCGCCGGTGAGGCGCGCCGTTCACGCTAAGGGTCCGCGCGCCACGTCAAGGACAAGACATTAGGTGGATGACGCCGGGACGAAAATGCCTCGGGAATGCTAATTCGGCCAGAGATGATCTGTTTGATGGCGTCATGTCACGGCCACATTGCTTGCATGGGCTTCAAACTGCATTAACGGTTCGCTGCCTCAGCGCAGCTATGCTTCTTCAGCAAAGCTTCGTGCACCGAGACAGTGATTGATTTCGTCCGTCGAGGTAAGGAATTGAGATTGATTGGCTTACTGCTGAATACTATGAACCTGATCACATGGCCTCGCAGCCAAAAATACCCGTGACGCGCAAGTACCGCCGAAGGCTGACGAACAGGTGGATCAAATACCTCGAGTTTTGCCGATTGACTTGTCAATAGTCTTCTTCGCCTGTCTAATGGTTACGGTCAGTTTTCCAAGGTCCATCCAGTGGCCGGTTTGGCCCTTCGATTGGCGATAAGCTCTACCGTGGCTGAGCAGTGCGCCACGTGAGCGCCGCCACGTACGCCCCGCGCGCTTTAAAAAACACACATACGTAGCGCCGTTTTCATAGGAGTTGCAATTTTGTAAACGTCTACGCGCTGTGGATTCTATTACATACATCGCGGAGGATTTAGCGAAGTGTTCCAACTACTGAACAGAGTCGGAACCATAAAATTCGATCGAAGTGGCACATTTCTTTGGAGCACCATGGTTATGTAGGGTGCACCATAAACACGATGACGCCATGATGAGCAGATTTGTTTTAGGGCGTATTTGGCCATCCCGAGGTAAAGGCCGTTTACATGCTCAATTAGCTGAGCGCATTAGCTGGTACGCCCTAAGCAAGTGGCAAGCGCCGTCGGCGAGTTTTCATCACAAATCACGCAAAAATCGCCAGAACAAAACATCACATACTGAATATTTTGACAGAGGGGCTAGTCGTGTAAAGTCTCCGAGCCTAAATGGAAGCGTAAGGAAAGCTGATTGCTATGATAAAACACCTTAACTTTTCCACACATCATGTCTATGGAAGCTGCCCTATAAAGTTTTGAGGTTGTTGAATTAACGTGATTTGGAGCCTTTCTGTATTGAATATCCGCTATTGCCCAATCCTATGTAACTAGCTGGTAGTATCTAGCACACGGGTCTTTGAAATACTTAATAAAATAAAATAAAATACTTAATAAAAGGCACTGGTAATCAATACCCTTGAGAATGCTGTTGCTGTTCGGAATCCACAAGAAACTTTCTCATCCAGGCTTAGAGCTTGCGTGGTAGTTCTAGAAATCATTAAAGGTTTTCTTCGAGGTGTTTGACGTGGAGAATCATCCTGGTGACTTTTAGAGAGAAATCTTATCGTAATTTCCTTCCTTTCCTACGGGTGACATGAGCATTACAGGAATTACTAGAAGGAATTGTCAGAAGGAGCTCGCTTTTTGTCATTGGTTCCATATTTACTCACGAAGCATGCATACGTGCTCTCGTATCGCTTTTTCTCATTTGCTGGCAGAAACATGGCGTTTTATGATGGGTGCCCATTTTCTGTCCGAGTAAAGGCGTGCCAACTTTCCTGTCTCCTATCATGCTTGGGTATCATGGCTGCGCTGCTTTCATGGAAGAACAGTACTGTGGGATAACGCTGCTGGCTTTTGGTCAGAAGGGTGCCAATTCATGGGAAGGGTGGGAGGTATCCATTTTCCTCGAAAAAATACGCTTAACATTACGGGGAGATCCATTCCAAAAGGACGCCTTCATTTTGGACGACTTTTCACTGCAATGCACTGGGAGGTTCCTTTTGGGGAAAAAGGTATCCATCTGGCATAAATGGTTCCACTTCAACTCACAGGGACGCCATTCAGAACAGGGGACTCATTTCTTATCATAAATCTTTCGGTCACTAGGGCGACTGCCACTTTTTAAATAAAGAACAGCCTCCTTTCCGTTCAGGTGTTCTCAAGATTACAGGAAGAGCACTGTAAAAAGTGTCGTCAGTGCTCCCCCAGCGTGATGCGCTCCATGTCCACTGGAGATAACCTTTTATGAAGATGGCGCTTAGTGCAACCCGCAGTGTCGCTTTGCTTCGTTGTATGAAAGAGCCTCCGCTCCTGCAGGGTCGCACCTATAGCGTCGCGGGAACCCAATTGATGTGACAGGAGCGCCCTTCTCATGAAACAGGGGCCAAACGCTCACATCTCCTAACCTCTCTCCCCCTCTATCTCTCTCTCCCTCCCTCTCACTCACCTCTCTTCCCTCTCTTTCTCTCCCTCTCTCTCTCTTGCTCTCTCCTCTCTCCTTCTCCTCTCTCTCCCTTGCTCTCTCTCCCTCTCTCTGTCTCTCTCCCCTCTCTCTCTCTTCCCCCCCCCTCTCTCTCTCTCTCTCTCTCTCTCTCTCTCTCTCTCTCTCTTTCCCTCGCTCTGCGAAACTGGCAACGTCCAAGCTAGCCCATGAGGAGCGCGTCCAAATCACGCCTCTTAATGAGAGGGATGAGTGTGCCCGCGTGGAGCGTGGCTCCGGGAAGCTCCCATGACCACGCGCCTCTCTGGCGTGCACCTGGTCCCAGCCGAATTCGCCAGCACCCACGCTCGATTCTGACGCTGAGCGGATGATCGATGCTACGCGGTCGCGGCGGGGTATTGGGCCGCCGGCTGAGGATGGCTTTCGTCACCTTCACTGGCTTTAGCACGGGTGAACACCGGGAATCCCCGACCTACAGTCGTGGATACCGTTCGAAGGACTTTATGCCAGGAGCCTGTGTGCTGTTCACGCACTTGATCGCGTCCCCTTTTTGTTTTGGGCCGTGACAGAAGAAGTAGTCTTTAAGGATAGCACGTGCGAAGCTCGTGAACATTCATATAGCCAGATCGGGGATATTTTATCGGGAAACATCGGGCGCAGCA